ACCTGGATATCCTGTAGGGAGACTGCGCTACAGGTCGATGAAATCAGGATAGGCGGAGAGACAAGATTACTAAGAGACTTCTCTGAGCCTCTCCTTCCTAGGATATGCCCGAGCAGATCGAACGGAGACTTTCCGTAAGAGGTCCGCCGAGAGCCAGAGGCTGGCAGTGATTCAGTGGAACCCCTGAATGGCATCGACTCGGCTTTTTTCATGTTCTCCATTGCCTCAATCAGCTTTCCGGCGGCCATCACTTTGAATTCATTCTCTGATGTCATAATCGCTGTCGACGAGAGCCTTTTCGTTGATGGCTGTCGGACTTCCGTAGCAGCCCCTGCCTGAACGACACAGTCCATGGATGCGGCCCTATTAGGAGGTGTGTACTCCCCAAACGACTCGCGGAAGGGTTCGCGAATCGGTGCCAGCGACGGGGCAAGTCTTGCACGACGTCTCGAAGCAAATTTAGAAGACGGATACTGTTTCTCCATGCCATTCCGAGCATTTCGACCCTCACCTTCCGTCTCATCCTCGCTGCTGTCGATGAATCTCATCCGACGTGGGAGAGGAGGAGATCGTTCTGCTGCGGATAAAGAGGTATTGAGCCACGGTGGATATGGCGCTGACATTGCGTGAGAGCGAAAAGTCAAGATCTTTTAGTAGATTCAACGGTGAAGCGGTTTGAGGATGTGCTGATGGTGTGGACAAAAGTGGGGTGTACGACGCGGACAATCTCATGCACAGAACTAATGCGATGCAAAGGTGTACAAATATGAGCTAGAGTGAGGCGAAACAGCATACGAAATGAGGAGTGAGAGCGGCTGAATAGAAATGGATGGGATGACACGACGGGAACGCTGTTACAATATATGAATTTGTGAAAAAAATATGTAGCCGAGGCTGGCGAGGAGGGCATGGCGCTGCTTTGATAAAGCGCATTCTACAATTTCGATTGATGGCAATGCTCTAATCGGAATGCAGTGAGAGAAGAGCACGTTAAACGTATA